AAAAAAAAAAAAAAAAAAGACTTAAACAAAAGGGCAAAACATGCAATTCAACCTTTTTACTTTGATTGTTGTGGCATGTCAGCTCCTCTACTTAAAAGTAGTGCAAATCAACCTTTTTACTTATCAAAACTCACAAATTAGCCCTTTTGTTAATGATTATATCACTTTTCCATGACAATTGCTATTGACCTGTTAAACTCCACTTATGTGGTGTTGACTAGGTGTGACATGGCAACTTATTTGACAACTTGGCACCCTCTTTCTGCTTACTTTGATGGTGTGGGATAAAATGGATGGAATTGACCATATGACCCTTGGCAACAAATTACATTAGGGATTCAGGTTTGATTCGGCCATTTTTATTTTCACTTGATTCAAGGTCTCTTCTTCTCAATTACTTCTTTCATTGTTCAATCTAAAGTAATTTTACACCTCTTTGTGCTATTTTTCTTGTCCAGTTACAAATTTGTCATGGGTTTTAAAAGAGGTATGGAGTCTTCAAGTTCATACCACTCTGTTTCCTTGTCATTGGTTGAAGAATGAGGGAACATGAAGATTGCCTACAAAGGGAGGTAGAGGTATTGCAACTGTGATTTAAACTCTCCTTGTTAGATTGCTTGGCCTAAGGGTAATATTGGATGGAAATTCTATGGGTGCGTAAACTAGTTTTTGAAGAAAAAGAAGAAAGGTATGTTTTTTATTGAGAGATCTTACTTTTTGAGCAATATTTGATTATTTTATGGTGACTATGGTTAATTGTTTTTATACATTTTATTAGGGAGGTAATGCCTAAGAGAATAAAGTGTTGTGAATTCTTTGAATGGCATGATAGTTGGTATGCATTTTAAGTGTTGTGACAATTGGCATGACGATTCTTTGTGGCAATGTGGTGTCAAATAAGTTTAGTAGGCCAACTTGAACAAGTAAACATTGATTATTGACATATTATTTGATATCGCATAATAGTATCAAATATTATCTAACAATCAACATTTAGTTATTTATGTTGATTGTATACATTTTTTTTTTTTACACTTTAATGTTTTGCAATGTCAAATATCATTTGACACAACTTTATTTTAGAGTGACACTAGACAACGATGATGTGGTGTCTTGGTTTTTTGATATAGCATATGGTGGTGTCAAATACCCATTTTTCTAGTAGTGTAAAACGCACTAGCACACTTATATCTTTGCCTTTATATTCATTTTTAATGAGCAATTTACATGTTTTGGCAATAGAATGCTTCCTAATTGCTTGCTTAAATTGAACATGATTTGTGAATCTCATGCTTACCTCAAACCAAGGTATATCCTAATTAGGATTGTAAAATTCATCAATTATTCCCATCGATGGTGGATCAGCATTTACATAAAAGACATTTTCCTCCTTGAATGATGACAATGACCTCAATTGTCCTAGGTCATCATTGTTATAATAATATGTGTTTTTACCATTGTCATTGTCATCAAAATCATCAACTAGAAGTTCCTTTCACTTTTTATAAGATCATCTTTTCTTGATTTAGTAGGGGTTGTGTCATGTCCCTTGTATGAATCAATTCCAACAAAGATTTCCTTACATTTTTCACCCTTGTAGTTGCTTTTTCTTTTTCTAAAGCAAGCTCTTCCATTTTTTGACCTTTCTCTAGTTTTCAAGTTTTTTAGTTGAAAGACCAAGACCAACATCCAAATTAGGATTTTGTTTTTGGTACTACTCTATGGTGATCTTCCTTTTTACTAGGAGTTTAGTTGCACTAGCTAGACTAACCTCTTGTTCCTTAACATTTGCATATGCATTTTTGAATGCACTAGCTTGAGTATAAATCATTATTCTCTTGTCATCATCTTTATCACTCCTATAAATGCTCATTAGTCCAAAATTATAATCAAATTCATCAATGAAAAGCTTGTCTTCAATTTCATCAACATTTTCTTTTAATCCAAACTATTCTTGGGCAAGGGTCCCCAAATCTTCATCATTTTGTTCCTATGTAATGCTATCAAAAGCATCATTTTGTGGAACACCAATTGATGCAGCAATGTTAGCATAATCAATCTAAACATATATCTCATCATAATTCTTAAGAATTTTTTTAATCTCAATCATGTTGCCAGTACATATCATTGGCTTCATGACACTAAAATCTATCCCTGGCTTCATGAATTAAACTTCTTATTGCTGGAGTCCTTCGTAGACTAACTCTCCCTTACAAAACCCATGATTTGTGAAGTAGATAGTATGTTCTCATGGACCTCAAATATTGCCCACTCTCCACCAACATAATCAATAGATGAGCTATATTCAAAACTATGCTTATGGTATATTGTCAACACGCCCATGTATTAGGCCATGCTTGTGAGAAAGGACAAAAATATAATTAAAAAAAAGAACGTAGAATTAGATAATAGGACCACATGGGTATTTTGTATCAATACACAGATACGTTATTGAATACACACAACTACACAACATAACATTACTATAGAAAAATAGAAACTAAAAGTAAAAATAAAGATAAAGTCACAATAAAATTTGAAACTCTAACTCTGTTAAGGTTTGATCCCATAAAAAAAAAAAAAATCTAAAACCACAAAAAGAAGCCCTTCAAGCCTTCTTGAGATTCTTTCCCTTTAAGATTCTCCAAAATCTTCTTGTTGTAGTTGGATAGAGAATATGCTTCCTTGACCTTCATTTCTTTTGCTAGGTTTAAACAATAAATTTGAGTTGATAAGGGATTTTTCCCATTCTATTCCATAATAGCAAATGAAGCAAAATGAGGGCATTAAGTTGTTAAATAAGTTGTCACGTCACTCTCAATTAATGCCATATAAGTAAAGTTTAAGGGGGCAAAAGCAATTGTCATAAAAAAGTGACGTCATCATCAACAAACAGGTTGATTTACGGGTTTTGATAAGTAGGAGTGTTGATTTGCACCATTTTTAAGTAGAGGGGCTGACATGCCACGACAATCAAAAAAAGGGGCTAATTTGCACCTTCTGCCAAAAAAATGTCTTGAAAAACCGATGGCAAATAAAAAATTCGTAAAGGCCCAACTTAGACAGCACAAATCCAAATTCCAACTCGAAAGTCTTTTCAATTCAAATTCAAATCAGACCGCGGAGAGGAAATTAATACCCCACGTGGAAGCTAATTTTTCTATGAATGCAACTGCCATCCATGATCCAGCTAATAAATCATTAAAAAATAATGCCGAATGTAAAATGAAATACAAAATTGCTTTGAATACATAATAATAGGGATTTGATTTTACAATTGAACTTTTCGGGTTAATTGAAACTCAATCAATTTAAGATGCATTTCTCCCTTTTTTTATAGGTGGACTTCAAATCCGTCCCTTGATGATTTGTTTAAAAAAAAAAAATAAAGGATTTGATTTTGCAAAAGTGTGTTGAGTAATTAAAAAATTATAATTGTAAGATAAAAATTTTAAATTTAAAT